AATTTTTCTGACTTCTAAAATATTTTTTCAGAATAAAAAATTTCCGTAGTTGTTAAAAGGTACGAATTGCTTTTAAATATTAAGTTTTAAGTTTATAAATAGCGTCACATTTAAATTTAAAGGTAATTTGACAGAACAGTTTATTTTTCTTATTCATCATCAATTGATATTATGTACTAAGTTTTTAGCTTTGTGTTACACATTTAAAATAGATAAAGTTACATGAAGAAATTTTTTAGTTGTTGGGATTTTTGTAAACTTTATGGGCTAAAAAATATGTTTTTATTAATGGTATCTAATGTGAAACATATGGTAGTGATTAACTGGGAGCCTGGAGCTTTTTATAAGCAAAATACAAGTTCATATCTTGATTAAAGTTCAGATACTTATTCTCCAGGAGACTAGCTATGGAAAATACTCTTTATGAATTAACCCTGAACCTGGGTAAAAAGACAACCTGAGAATTTTGGTAATTGAGCAACTAAACTACAAGTTGCAGATCATTACATGTCATTAAATTATTTTCTGAGATACATTAATAGGTGCCCTTTCTAAGCAAAACACCAATTTTGTCTTTTTGTCTTGTCTTCCCATCCTGCTTTTTAAAGAAAAAATTTCCTTTTAAATAAGTATATTGTATAATGATATAAGCAGACATGCTAGGTAGGTTGGATTGAACCATTTTGTTTTTCTTATTAGTTGTATATGCTTTTCTCAGTTTGCTGCTTCAGCAGCAGCAACAGTGAATAAACAAGTATCACCACAGCCCTTGTTCTTGTCCCTTATAGCTGGGAACAGGAGCTGGGAGATTGCTGCTTTTACTCAGCTGTTGTACACAATAGCATCATATATGCAATAATGGTGGCCAAAAGAGCCTAAACCCACCAGTTTTTACAGACTAGGTGTGACGGGCTTGTCATTGTAACCCTATATATTATATTCATTGACAAAAAGGTGTCTTCTTCCCAGAGGAACATAAAAAGAGCCATAGGTACTTACAGTTTTTAGACTTTTATTATTTTTACTATTTACTCTTGTTTTACTTAATGTAATTTTCATTCAGTTAATTTCCTCTGTTTGAATGTAAACTTGTCTTGCGTCTGAAAGTGTGTATGATGTTTCATGTTTTTCACTTTTAAGCTGGTAAACTGGAAAAATTAATAATTAGTTGCTAATAACACAAGTTAGGTAATATTGAAGAAAGAAAAGTTGACGGTGGCCACATAGTGTTTTTTTCACATTGGGGCCATATTCCAAACCCATATTTTCGTTTTCTATAGCCCAATCTAAACAAGGCCAACTTATTGTTGATTTCACTATGACAAAAAGAATACCACTCTATACTACTTAGTATTGTATATAACTAATACAAAGCATGCTGCAGATAGAAACTCATAAGTCTTTGCTTTTTCTCGCTGTTAATGTCTTATAACTGGAAAATTCAGATTATTCTAAATCTTTCAGAGATAGGACTTTGTAATTTCAAATAGTATAAAAGAGTGTTTTTATAATTTAACACAATTTGAATTTGCACAGGTTTGTATCACCTAAATATCTGTACATTTTCTCATCTTTTCTATCTAAATCATTCCAATAGGTTGTAATTACAGGGAAGTGAATATTGGGTCTCTATTAAAGTACTGATTTCATTTGTAGCATTCTTCCTGGGAACTACAATGACATTTTAGTGTGTGAGCATAATGTCTTAATTTAAAGTCTGACATTTGCAATAGCATTTCTTTAAAAAGGTAACGAATGTCCTCATTAAAAACACAACTAATCACTCCCACTCTTAATGTTTTCCTTTACTAATTACAGTAAACTAAGAATATTAGTTCCCTAATATTATCCAAAAAAGTTTTGTTGTAGTATGTGCTTGGTTATCTGAAATGATAAGTGATCCCACAACCTAGTTTAACATTGTGAAGACAAACATATTCAACCATAAGTTGAGATTACTATGTTTTGCTAATACTGAAGTGTTTTCTTTAATATGTTGATGTAATTTACAGATAACATTAATTAGTGTTAAATGACCTTTAACCAAAAAGTGAGCTACATAATCCTTTATATCAAAAACACCTTGTTTTTACTACTAATTACTGTATAAATTGTCTGTGGACTACCTGTACCAGAATAACCTAGACAAAAACATTTTCCAGACCTGCTGAATCAGAATCTACAGCTGGGGCTCAGGAATTTGGGTTTTTTTTCCAAGCTGTAATTTTTTGTTTTGTTTTGTTTTGTTTTGTTTTGTTTTTAGAAGCACTACATGCGAGAAGCACTGCCCAAAAAGAAATGAGGGAGGATTCTTCACATCAATAAACCATTTATATTTTCTGCTTTCTTTTCTCTTTGATCATTGTGTATCTAAGTTCAATAACTAATTATGAACCTTATCATTTCTTCCACAGTAGTTATAACGTCTTGGTATTTCTTCAGTCATATGAGGAAAATCTATATTATGTGAGCTTTATTTTTGTGCAAGTATCTTTGGCCAAATTTTAGTCTATTCTATTTCTTTGGAACATTTAGTATATCTACACTTGATGAATTGATCATTTAAGAATCTTGTTAGTTTTCATCTGCATAGTAGCACTTTTTCTTAAATGTAGTTTTATTATTGGAGAAAATACAGAAAGAGGAACTTTTCTTATGCTGCTTGTCGGAGCATTTGACAAAATTCTAATAAAGTTGAAGATATACTTAGGCTTGAACACAACAATTCCATTCCTAGATGTCCTAGATAAACTAAGACGTGTGAAAAAATCTTGTTTACTTTTACTTTTCATAGGAAAAATTTTGAGAGCAATTTGAATGTTAAGTAAAGAAAATGATAAATTGTGACATAATCATATGAACTCTTTGTTATACTGCTATTTAAGAGAGCTGTGTGTATTGTTATAGATTAATGATAAAAATAAGTTGCAAAATATATAATACATTATACAAAATATATATGGTATGGTAACATTTATGTAAAGTTTGAAAACAATCCTATATAATAAAAGCATAACATGTAAATTGACCGAACAGTGGAACAACCAGTCACTATGACACGCACTGACCACCAGGGGGCAGACGCTCAATGCAGGAGCTGCCCCCTGGTGGTCAGTGCGCTCTCATGGGAGCGCTGCTCAGCCATAAGCCAGGCTCACGGCTGGCGAGTGCAGGAGCGAGGGGTCCCGGACTGCGAGAAGGCGCAGGCTGGGCTGAGGGGACCCCCTCTACCCCCAAGTGCACGATTCTTGTGCACCAGGCCTCTAGTGATATATGTTGTTTTAAATACGTGAATTTATAGTAATCATATAAAAGCATACATAGTTAATAAAAACCAAATTCAGGACTATAATCAGGAGAGAGGGGAATGAGACTCAACTATATATGTAGTCTTTCTTAAAAAATTTAATTAAGCAAAGTAAGCATGGCAGAATATTAGAATTAAATACAGCTGGATTGGAGAGCCAGGGCTAAGATGTGGAGATTCATTTTGGTATTCTCTTGGTTTTTCTTTGGATTTAAAATGTTGGGGTTTTGTTTGTTTTTTTGTTTGTTTTTCAAATTAATGAGACAAAAGTGCTATTTTTTATTTTTTGGCAAAGATCTTCTACAATAAGATGTACAGTTGGAATGAATGTTTCATTAAGCATGGATGGGTTTATTCTCTTCTTTCTATTCTGTGACTTGTAGTAAGTGCTTAACTGTTAGTTGGTGTAAGAACAGTTTATAATATGTCCCAAAGAAGTCAAACCTTTTAACAAACTTACGTTTCCAGGATATTTTTCAATCTTTTTATTTTTAAAGAGAAGATGTAATGTTTTCTTTTGCATACTGGCTTTTAATCCTTCCTACTCTTAATAAGTAAAGGGCAACCATGGAAATAAATTTTTCTTATCATTACTCTTTCATTTGCTCCTGCATTCAGGCAATTTCACAACTATATTTTCTCTTGTTTTGGCCATCCTAATATATAAAAAGCCAGGGGCCATCATGACCGAAACAACCAAACGGACAACTGAACAGCAGGCTGCGTGGGGCGACAAGGCCGGCAGGGGGGGCAGTTGGGGGCGACCAGGCCGGTGGGGGGGGGGCAGTTGGGGGCGACCAGGCTGGCAGGGGGGGCAGTTAGGGGCGATCAAGCCAGCAGGCAGGGGCAGTTAGGGGTGATCAGGCTGGCAGGGGGGGCAATTTGGAGCAATCAGGCAGGCAGGTGAGCAGTTAGGAGCCAGCGGTCCTGGATTGTGAGAGGGATGTCTGGGATCGGGCCTAAACCAGCAGTTGGACATCCCCCAATGGGTCCCGGATTGGAGAGGGTACAGGCTGGGCTGAGGGGACCCCTCCCCCTTGCACAAATCTTGTGGTATGATCTTGAATTTATCTTAAAATATCTGTAATTATGATGTTCTCCAGAAGCTCAGTGTGCTTCAAGTTAGACATTGAAGAATGAGTTTTAAGTGCACTTACATATTAGCCTTTTAAACTTCAAGGTGGTATTAGTAATAGAATAGTGAGTTTTAAAAACTAATGATAAGCCCTGGCTGGTGTGTTCAGTGGTTAGAGCGCCAGGCATGCCCTTGTCCCTCCACACACACACCACACACAAACACACACACACACACACACACACACAGTAGGGTTGCTGGGTTCGATTCCCAGCCAAGAGCAGGTACCCGGGGTTCCAGGTTCCATCCCCACCCAGATGGGGGCACCTGTAGAAGGCAACCAATCTATGTGTCTCTCACATGATGTTTCTCTTCTCCCTTCCTCCTACTCTCTCTAAAAGTCAATGGGAAACATATCCTTGGGTGAGTATTATCAACAACAACAAAAAAACCCAAAGCAAACAAACTCTGGACTGAAATATATAAATGGTGCTGGGTTTTATAATCTGTGATTGTTCTGTGCTTAATAGGGATCAGAAAACTGTCAACCTCGATTGCTAATTTTATAACATATAATGTGAACACATTTTTAAAGTCTTCACTTTTATTTTCTTCTAGGTTTATAACGATAAAATGAAGACCATGATAAAACAGCCTCGTACTTAGTTCATCAGTTCTTACCTTGTAAGTATTAACTCGGCCCCCCTACCATTGCTCTAAAAAGTTACTGTTTGATGTAATTTTTTGCTTTATTTCTGATTTTTTACCATCCTAGAATGACAACTTACTAACGTCCCCTTATCCTCTACACATTGAAGGTTGGTGTTTTCTTGTGTTGTTGTTTTTTTAATATATTTTTATTTTTTAAATTCATTTTTATTGATTTCAGAGAGAGGAAGGGAGAGAGAGAGAGAGAGAGAGAGAGAGAGAGAGAGAGAGAGAGAGAAACATCAGTGATGAGAGAGAATCATCAATTGGCTGCCTCCTGCATGCCCCCTACTGGGAATCGAGCCCACAACCCAGGCATGTGCCCTGACCAAGAATTGAACGGTGACCTCCTGGTTCATGGGTCGATGATCAACCACTGAGCCATACTGGCTGGGCGAAGTTTGGTGTTTATTTAATCCATTTTAGAGCAAGAATAATGCCATTGCCATAGGTAATTTTTCTATTTGGGAAAGTATCTTACAGCTAGGCCCTAGCATCTGTAACTCTGAGAATCACAATTTTACACCTTTTTCCTTCAAAGGAATTTACATATAAGTATGGTCTTTTCTTATCATCATTATTCAGGTTCCTTGACAGTTATTTTATGGTTTTATAAATTGGAAGTATTCTCTCCATTTAAGAAATTATTATTATTATTTTTATATTTCCTTAGGTTACACTTCATACTTCTTTGTGAAGTGCTTTAGATTTAGCTGTTAAACTTCAGGAGGTGGGAAAAACAGGAAGACAATCCCTTTTCCTTCCTTTTATATATACACATGCACACCTCTTTTCTTAGAATATGAAAGATTTTTTACCCTGATTCATTTAACTTTTGAGAAACAAGTAAATTCTAAGGGAATAATTCTAACACATTAGCTAAAATTAATATTATACCATTAGAAAAGCTCTCAAATCTAGGAAATACGTATTTCCTTAAAAGTATTTGAGATTCTCTACCAAAAAGATTAATTTCCATATGTTTCTTGAGCTAATTTTATATCTCTAAATGAAAGTAATGTGCAGCTACTTCTGTTCTTGATGTTGAGGGATGGCCCTGTTTAAACGAAAACTAATACTTGAGATGCTTTTTTTACATTATCTCATACTATTGCATTAGTGACCCAGTAAATAATGTCTGTGTGTTGAAGAGTGACCTTACTATGATCATAGGTGGTCATCCACTGAATTTGATAAGTAGTTTTTAGGGTACAAATAATTAAATATTAAAACTTTTAATAATGAGCCAGTTTGAAGAGTAGTAGCCAAATGTCACAGGTCACTTCTTTTTAAAATTTTTCCCCTCAATATTTTTGTCTCTGGAAAACTAGAATGGAAACATTTGCAAATCCCCAAAGAATCCTATATAATCCAGGCTTGGGTTTCTTAATTGGTCCCTTGGAAGCCAGCTTAGCTTTTCTTCAACTAAAGTCTCAGAAAAAGAAGTCTTTTCAATTTGTATTGCACTTACTATAGACTGAGGGCAGTCTACTCTTCAAAAAGAAATGGGTATCATTTAACTTTTAAAAAATTTTTAAGCACACATAACATAACGTTGTTAACCTCATTTCATCTCCTTTATAAATTTCTAAGCAGTTTTTCTTGGCTACTCTGCAGTATCTTTTAAACATAGGTCATTTGCAATATTTCATAGTTGGAATTTTTTCTGTTGTTTGTTCTAGGTAATATGCCTGGAGTTCCCTTTAAGGTACTAAAATGGTAATGTTTCCAATTAAACAATACCCAGAAAAATAGCACATAGTGACAGTAGTCAGTGATTCTGTATGATTATGTGTATGCCTCTTATATATTTATTGAACATGACAGGAAGAGTAAAACTGACAGCCTAGGTATAAAATGTGATTGCTTACTTGTGGACATAAATTTATTTCAATTCTGCATTCAATTTATTCCTGTTTTCACATGGAGATAACTTTGAAGACTTAAATATTTCAGACAAATTAGTGACAAAGGACAAGACTGCATTGAGTAATCTGTTGATGTTACCTATTTTATTTATGCTTAGAACATGAAATCCCTGTTATACTAGAGTTCATTACATTTGTATGTTTATTTCCTATTTAAATCAAGACCTGTGCTATTAAATTTTGCCTTGTTTTCATTTTCCTGATATGTTTACAACACAAGGTTTAGGGGTAAACTGACTCACTCATGCACTCTCTCCTTTGTCACCTGAGAGACTCATGACTGATCATACAGGTAGTATCAGCATGAAAGGATTGTGGAATCGAGAACCAAAGTTTCATTCAACAACCGAGACATTTTTCCCCATAAAAACTTGGTTGAGAATCAAGTTGTTTGAGATGGGAGATGTTTAAGAACCGAGGTTTGGCTATATTTATTAGTTCTTATCAACTTTTTTGTATTGTATTTCTTGGCTGACATCATGGTATATTTATAATTGATTCATATCTAGAGTAAAATCATCAAAAATTTAATACCCCAAAAATATGAATGTTTAGCTTCTATTTAGGGACTTATATATAAATATCCTGACCTTTCTGGGATAAATTGTCTAAATTGAAATCCACTTCACAGTTTCCAAATAATCATTCATTTGTTAATTTCTCCATCAGAAAAAAAAAATCAAGGTAGTATAGAAACAATACAACTTAAATGCAAAAACTAGGTTTTTTGGATTATAAAACAAGTTTTTTGGATTATAGCGAAATGTTATTTCATTGCATGCCTCATCACCACACTGAATTTTAAATGTATCTTCTGTAGTTAATATAATCTTTTTGTATTTAATCACTTGTACCCAAAAGACAAGTAAAAAAAAAAAAGCGAAACACATTTTAATCTGTTACCCGTGAGTTTTATATATTTGGACATTTCATAAACCTCTCAATTTCTTAATAGGGTAATGAAAAAATTACCATATTCAGTGAAATTGTCATGCTGTTTGGTTTGACCCCATAATTTAGGCTTTGCTTAAAGATAGTAAAGAGTGGCTAATTTAAATGTTCTTCAAGTATAATAATACAGGGTAGGGCCCTGGACATTGTGGCTTGGTGGTTAGAGGGTTGACCCATGCTCCGAAGGGTCGAGGGTTCGATTCCCAGTCAAGGGCATGTACCTGGGTTGCAGGCTCGATCCCCAGCCCAGGTTGGAGTGCCTTCTGCCTGCGGGAGGCAAACAATTGATGTGTCTCTCTCCCCTTCTCTCTCTAGTCCTTCTCTCCCTTCCCCTACTCCCTCCCTCTCTCCTTTCCATTATCTAAAAATTAATGGGAAAAATATCCGGTGAGGATTAACAAAGAATAATAATAATAATACAGGGTGGGGCAAAAGTAGGTTTACAGTTGTTCATATGGAAAATACAATAACTAATAAATAATACAAAAGTAAATGGTTTTGCATACTCACAACTGTAAACCTACTTTTGCCCCACCCTATATTTCATTACTTAAGTAGTATTCCACTGTCCTGAGCAAGGATAATCATTCTGCAGCCCAGAATGGTTATATATAGCCAGCTCCAGAGGTTTAAGTGCAGAATTTAAAGCATACTTGAAGAAAGTAATTACTATTATAAAATGTATGGATGCCATATTAAAAGTAAAATTAAGATACTTGAAAAATCTAAAGTAATGTAGTAACACATAAAAGATAGCTAAATAACAAAGTAGCAGAAATATTTTTATGCCATGTAAAGAGGTACTCCTTCTCTATCTAGCTGGAATTGCTCCACTAGAATCTTTCACTTTATTAATAATTTAAATCAAGAATTTTCACATTTGATTAAAATAAATCAAGAATTTCTGTATTTTATGGAAATATTTTTATCAGGCTTTCAAATAGAAAGTAGTTATTTTTAATTATCTCAGATAGTTAAAAGTAGAAATAAAAATAGGGAAAAAATCATCCTTCTCATGAGGGTGATTATTAAAACATTGGTGATAAAATTACAGTATGTATTGTCACAGAAAGCAATAATCTTTGCCTTGGCCAGTGTGGTTCAGTTGGTTACATCATCCTCCCGTGCACCAAAGGGCCTCCAGTTCAATTCCTGGTCAGGGAGACAACCGATTGATGTTTTCCTCCCTCCCTCCGTTCCTCCCTCCCTCCATCCCTTTCCCTCCTTCTCCTCTACCTCTTCTCCCTCCCTAGGTAGTTAGTATTTAGTGGGTACAGTTTTAGTTGCTATGGATAAAAAGGTTCTAGAGAATGGAGGGTGGCAATGATTGCACAGCAATGTGAATGGTCTTAATGCCATAGAACTTTAAAATGGTAACATTTATGTTAGGTATATTTAACTGCAATTTTAAGAAATAAAATTAATGACGTTCTTAATGTGAATTTTTTTAAAAGGTTTTAAAAACTGATTGCATTTTATAGTATTCACATTTCAAGTATGGTATACTTGGCTTAGTTTAAAATATACACTAGTAGACTTAGCAAAAAGGAAGTATTGGAATTGAAATGACTCATTTTTCATGATTTTGAAATAATCATTCATTTGACTTTGTAATAATTATTTAATGTATACATCTACTTGCCGCAGGCTCAAAGAACAGTATATAATCTTGAACGGTTATTTATTTCATGATTTTTGTCTCAATCTAAATGATCGTAAATTTTTTGGAAGGGATTTTGTCTGGTATATTAGTGTACCAATTAGTGTAACAACTGGGGCCGTGCCTAGCTCATAGTAGGTGTTCAATAAAGTATTTGTTAAATAAAATACATATATATATATATATATATATATATATGTATATGGTTTGTATATTTGAAAATTGTCATGCTTACATTTTTGTCTGAAAGGGTGTGCCTTTTTGTCTGGAAAGTGGGTTTGACGGGAGAGGGTAACCTGAAGGTCAGTTTCTTAGTGTAATTGGTAAATACAAATAAGTATTATGTATTTTCATGTTATTGCAAACATTTATTTTGGCTACATATTAAAAATTGTGTGGAAAAGTAAGACACTAATAGAGTAGAGTAACATATGAAA